TATCAATATCTAAAAAGGTCCCTCTGCAACTTTAGTTTTTCTGTGAAATACCACAATTTATTTGATTTATGCTGTTTATAGCTTATTAGGAATTTCCCCAGTTTCTATTATCTAGCAAGTGTTCAAATACAAACCCAGAGATCTCTGAATTTCCCAATCAAATTCCAAGCAAAAAACTTCAAAAGGAAGCATTTTCCTCATAAAAGTCATATGCTTTAGGCTAATCCGATGATGCTTTGGGGACCTTTGGAATGTTTGAAATTGCCAGGGCTTATGTATTGAGTGAGAAACCCGGGTTCACACCTCGTAGTTTAAGAAAGAAGAAAGTGGAGCATGTATCAGAGAGGCTTGTAACAGATGGGGCCAACTCTTGGACTAAATAGTACAGACCAGAGGGACTCCTGACAAGCAAAAACTTAATAGTTAAGATCCACAGTGTCAAATCAAAATGAATTTTGGTGCTGGATAATAAAGACTGTGATTCAGGAGTTAGGTTTTGCTTCCTGTGCCAGGCCATGGGTAGGTTATACAGTTTTGCTCTTCACCAGAAAGATGCATTTTTCTCTGGTTATTTCTCAAATTTCCATCTTGAAAAGAATGATGTTTTTAAACAATCAGCATTCCTTGAAATTACCTATTTCAAATGAAAAATCAGTACTCCCATGTGCATCATGGAATGATCCTTAATGCTTTTTACTGGAACTTATTGACATACAGAGCAGGCCAGTCCACTTTAAACTGTAGAGCAATATTCTGCAAGTCCAATCAAAAAACTGTGTTTCAGGTTGAGAATAGTATCCATTTCTGTTCTTGGAAAACTTCTGTGAATGTTTTATGATGTGGTAGGAGTTCATAAGTAGAATTGCTAGGACAGATGCATGTAGTGAAATTGTGGGAAGCTTTTCCTTCATGTGGCATGGGAGAGGGCAGAAGAGTAGACCCAAAATCCTGTCTCTGTCAATTTTCTATCAGTTAGATTTATGGTATCTGATGCATCCTTCACTGCCAAACTGTTTTCTGTTTATCAGATTGGAAAGAGTCCTGTCTGACCTCTCTGATCTGGCAGTCATCTGTTAGAACTGATCTGAAACCTAAAGGCTATCTTAGATGGTGAAGCTCACGATACTGCTCAGAGTGGCGTTGAAAGAAACCATGCAATTGCAAGCTTACATAAAGTTCCTCTAAATAAGTGTTTCTCTCTGATTCATGGTGCTAATTTTACTCACTTGTGTGTGCTGGGATAATAATTTGTTTCATTGGTTTGTCTACATTATTTTACTCAGAGTCCCCTCCCACATGCCACTCCAATACTAAATTTGATCTATTGGATGCATTGATGTTTCCTGTCAAGTGTTTTTGATGAGCAAGTTGGGCCACACTGATAAATGCAGTTCAGAAACAATGTGTGTTTTGTTGGGGGTTTTTTTGTTAACCAGACAACGAATTTAATTATCCCTTAGTGTTACTTTATTGGTACAGAAGCATGTGCAACTGTTATCCTGAGAAGATCAAGAGACAGCTCGAAAGTATGAAACCAAATGAGAGGTGGGAATGGTGGCAACATTGGTCACTTTGGAAAGCTTTCTTTCAGCACAGCATCCCAAACTTTAGACTGAAAAACATATTAAAACGAATATTGCATGAGTATCAGTGAAAAGCCAACCCTTTCACTCTCCTAACCCTTCTATGATTCTTCAGTATAATGAGTTGTAAGGATTCTTCACAAATCCCACATCCATGAGTATTTCTTTTCCAGGTATTTAATGCTGTATTGCTGAATTCAGCTGTCCTGGAGAGAGCTGCAGATGGCAGTCACTGCTTTTATGTTGTCAGGGTTTCTTCTTCATTTTGAGTGAGATAGTAAGTTGATCAAGATAGTAGAAGAACAAATTTTTTCTGTAGGTCTTAATAGAGGTTTTTACTTTTCTCCCAGGCAACTCTTTGAATAAGTACTAAGGATCTTAAAACGAGGTTTTGAGAGGGCAGTGTTATGAGCAGGTAGAACAGTAAGACTTTGTAACAACCTCCATTTCTGGAGGCCCCTCTTTGCGGAGTTTTAGTGACAAAAAGGAGCGAGCTTACCCTAGGATTTTAAGAGCACATATTTCTAATAGAACTTGGCAGTTCAAGGGCTAAAGAAGCATTTTAATCTTTTGTGCCCACCCAGTCTCTATACAAATGTAAATATGTCTGTCTTTAACAATTTGCCAAGAAATGTGGTTTTAATTTGTTAGCAGCGATCCCACTCCCTGCAGCTCTTTTAGAGTCAAGTCACAAGTCTGGCGGGGCTTTGACGTTTTTCTCTGTCATGGTGTCATTGTTTATATGATGTCTGCTTCTGCTGTCCTCCTTTTTATGCCTGGAATATTTTTCTTTAATTATTTCACTGCCTAAAAGGGATTTGGGATTACTAGACAGGATGAGAGCAGATTAGCTTTTTTTCTTTCTTTGACAAGTCCCAAAGTTCCCATAGGAAATAAATAGTATTCCCAAAACAGACAGTGTTGTTTTATTTTTTTTTAATTAACTAAAATTATTAAGTCTAATAAAGAAAATAAAGGAAGTATCACCAATAATGGCTGAGTGTCTTAGTAGTATATGGAGTGCCCATTGTTGTTATTTATGACTCTCTCTGCCTTCTATTGTGGACTTACTCCAGCCTTAGGGAGTTTACATCACTCGTAATAGCAAAAGGCTCTCTGGTTCCCACAGAGTCTTTCAAAGACTGACTCATATGCCTTATGTTAATTGTTCAGCTCTCAAAATACAGCACTTACAGGGTGTGGTTCCGAGGGGAAAATCTACTGTACTTAGAGGGCATGTTCAGAAGTGTTTCACATATAAATCATTTTGATTTTTAATTTTTTTAATGCCTTAACCCTTCTCTGTCACTTCTTTATGTGATAAGTTACTTGAAACCAAAATAAAAGGTTGATGATGGTGTAGTGAGGGAATGTGTTACCCTGCAACTCTGGACCATTAACTCCAGTCTGACTCAACTCACAAGCGACACGGCTTCATCATCTTTGCCTCTCTCCAGGGTCTGTTCTTCACACCCTGGCATGACAGTACACTCCAGGCAATGATCAGATGCAAGTTAGAACTGAGGTTTCTACCTTATCTGCAGTAGTGAGTACCTGTGGACAGGAACTGTCCCTAGCCGTCCTCTGGATTTGGTACATCACATTGCTTACCACATCTGCCGGAGTTGCCTTAGTGGATTGGCAATCCTGTCACTGTCTGCTATGTGGAGACTTGAAGAAGATTTAATAGAATTAGCCTTACTGGTTACTATAAAGCAGAAATTCAAATGCTTCTCCTGTTCTCTGGCTAAGTAAGAGTGCTCTCCAGCTGCTTTGCTGCAGGGGGATTGTGCAAGATCCTTCAGGCTCAGTTGTCTGAGTTGTGCGAATGTTACTGGAAATCCGAATAGTTTCTACAGTTGTTACGGTTAAGAGTCAGGGCCTTCTCTTAAAATTAGCAGAGCTCTCAAGTACTTAATAATACTCCCTTCTTGAATAGTTTACAAAAAATGATGAAAACGTATTTAGTCAAATTAGGGGAGCCCATACCTCTAACAAGAATAGAAGCAGCAATTAATCCCTCAGAATAAACTAGTTAGGCTTGATTTCTGAGGTTGAAATCACACTGCATGTATGTCCCATGTGTTTTCTGCCTGCTGTAACACACATGTTGCACCACTAGTGGACAGAACATGCGTCTATCAGCACACACAAAGAAGTCTGCATAATTTGCCTCTGAAAGGAAGGCTCAGAACAGCTGTAGGTCTTTCTGAAACTGTCAAAATAGCTTGATTTCATTGCCTGACTACCCTTTTTCTGCTTACAAAACAGGAAGTTGTTTTGACTGGCTTAGTCTTCTGGAAAGAGCAGTGAGGTTTATCCCCTCTCCTTCAAAACAGAAATACAAATAAAAATGGGCAGGGCTTCATCGCCTGTATGTGACAGGTTTAGAGGTGTTCCAGGCAGCAGTCATGTACATGCTTTGGCCTTGTGCCTCCGCAGTCTTTCTCTACTTCCTTCACTTCTTTTGTACTGCCTGATTCATGTGCCAGCTTCACAGAGTGGAGCAAGGGTATAAATAAGCACTGCCTCCATTTGATGAGCTCCAGTCAGAAGCTGCATCATGCAGGCTGCTGAAGAAAATGCTGTCAAAAAAGGGAGATGCACAAAGCCCCTTCGCTAATGTTGCCACATTTTTTTTTCTCTCCGTTCCATAGCCTCTGAAATAATACTTTTTTTGAGTATATAGTTTTTAATAGTGAAGTCAGCAACTGGCCCTTCTCTGATTGAGATCGTTTCATTGTGAAAGGAAATGCGCACAGCTTGAAGAAAAAGAGCATTTTCCTTCCCTCCCTCTCACCCCGATCTCATATTATGTAAAACCATGGTGCTGCTGTTAGCTGAGACCAGAAAGAATTCCCCTGTTGTCCTGTAGTAGCCAACCACTCCAAGCTGTGAGCGTTTGAAAGTTAGTATTAAAAGTTTTAACCCTTGCCTCCTGAAATGTGTAAATAAACTCTGTATATTTTTTTGTAAGTATGGAAAATCATGGGAATTCTTCTGAGAATAAGTGTATAGACCACTGCGCCAGTCAGTCTCTTCAGAAAAAAAGCTGACAAACATGCTCCTGTCTGCAAGAGAGATTCCTGGCATTTGTCACAGTTTGAGCCACAAAGATGTCAAATATTTGCCAACAGTTTCCTCAGAGGGTTTGGAAAGCTACATCCTTTACATTACAGTCTTGTTTGTTTGCAGGATAATTTAGCATATGAAATACATTCGTTGGAGTCTGACAGGGGAGGGAACTGACTAGACACCCCAATATTAAAAGATGAAAAATAATTCTGTTTCTCTTAGGCTGCTCAGATCAAAATAATAAAGAACATCTGTAAGTCTCAATATTAGAAATGGAGTTTTATGTTGAGTAATCATAGTTTGGTGTGTCGTGTTTTAAACCTGTGCTTTCTTTTGGAGCAGAAAGAAGAACTTTCCAATGGGACATCTGAATATTTTACTGAATCTGCTGAGCACAAGAAGCTGGAGATTGGTCTGAATGAACAAATAAAGCAAGACATCTTGAAAGAAATGTATGTCACTCTTCTTTCTAAGGTGTTAAATTTATAGTCTGGTAAAATTTGGATAAATAGAATCTAGCCCGTGTAATAAAATTTCACATAATATGATCCCCTTTACAAAATATTATTTCAGATTACTAAGAGAGTACTTACTCCAGTGTGGATGAGCACATAAAATGATCATTGTTGTTTTGTATGGCATGAAAAAAGCTATTACAACCCACATAGATATCTCACATAGCGCTAGGCAGAATCAAAACAGGGTGTTTTTTAACTTGAATGAAGCTCTGAGCCAAAATAAATATGTGATGTTTGAATCTGGTGCAAAACACTTTGCAAATATATTTTTTTGCTCATTTTGAGAGTCTGCACTGGACCATAATACTAGCCTGGAGCTTTGCTCAGTTAGAAGAATGTCCCTGGTGTAGTGGATGGGGTGAGTTAGTTGGTCAGCTGAGCATTATACTGGTCCTGTATATCCCATCCCAGGATGCTGTTCTTACTTGTGCAAGCTGCCAGTAGCCCCAGATCAACTGCAGAATCAGGGATTTGCTGTGAACCCTGGCAGCTTTTTTACCCATGTTGTCTCATCTGTGTTGTCTTTAGAAACAAGATTAGATCTGGAGATACGCCAGCTCTGCCTGATTCACAAGAGCCCTCTTTCTGAACAGTTAGATACACTGACCTGGGAACTGCTGAGCATCAGCAGAGCAGCAGAAAGTGGTCTCAGCCTGGGATAATCTGTAGTAATATCTAGTCTGAAAATGCAGCTTCAGTACTTGTGCATGAAGTTAATCTTAGAGCCTATGCGAAATGTAGATGCATAGGTAACACCCTGCTGAGGAGTGTCTGTGTACTGACACTCCATCAGGTCCCTTGTGATCCCATTTTCCTATATAATTCCTTTTAGAATATCATCTACTTGCATTACCTAAGTCCTTGCAGATGAGGGGGCTTGATGCTAGATGAGTAGTGGTTAACTTTAAAGTAATGCTTTGAAATGGCCTGGGAAAAATTCCAGAGGAACATTCTAAAATAGAGATTAGAAACTCTCACACAGAGAGGTGCACGCTGCCTCCCTGCCTGTCCCCCTGTATTCTTTAGATACACATTATGCATCTGAATATATGGGAATGGTTTGAAATCATTCGGGCACTTACAAGATGCTATTTTATCTAGCCAGTTTGGGAAGGAATTCAATATACTTATGCTGTGTTGACCTTTAACATCTGTAATGAATCTAGTTCTGCCTTTTGGAATAGAATGTGAACTCCTTCATGGCTTAGTCATTAATAAATAGGGTTCCCCTAGTGCAGTGGAAAATCAGATGGGTAACACTTGATATTATGCACACTAGACAAACATTACTGCTTGTCAAGATGATATACAGAGGATTTTTCCATGTTTGGAAGGAGGGTTGTTCTAGTGGTGCTTCAGTCTGTAAGAGGGGAAGATGGAAAATTAAGAACAAAATTCCTTTTTATTGCAGTGTGAAAAGGACAAAACTAAAGAAAAGTAGCACAAGCAAACCTCAAATCAGCGAGGACTCCAAGAAAGTGTTCCTTGGCTCAGTGGACTCACAGACAGAGAACAGAAAGAACGACCGTCAAACTTCTCTCAGCCCTCAATCTGAAGTGACATGTCGGAGTCCAGAACTGCTAAAGGACTGCACAAATACAGTTCAGAGCAACTCGGAACTTCCTGTTTTAGAAAGGGAAAATTATGTTAATCAGAGACAGCCAAATTGTGTTAGCAGCCAGCAAAAACCTTACTCTGTGGAGTGGTTGAAGTCGAGTCTTCAGAGTGAGAACCCTCCTTGTAGCTCTGAGTCAGCACTGCTAGGTCCAAAGCAAAGTCGAGAAGTGACCAAAACGCAGGCTCAACAAAAGAGCTGTGCTCCAGAAGAAAAGTTAGAGCATTTCAAAAACGTGTCCTCTGAAGGGACTGTTTTAATTCCTAGCAATACAGAAATGAGTAGACATGATGGTGGTTGTCTAGGTCCGTTCCAAGAGGAGAAGGCCCCACTTAATTCTGGGTTGTTTCCTAAACAAGGCATGACAAAGGCTGCATCTGATGAGGAGTCACTAACTTTGAGAAAAAACCTCTCCCAGCCTCTTTCTGTGAGGAACAATATAGCACAGACAAGGCAAAATGAGCCAAGCCCAACCACTGAAGATGGGATGCCACCATCAAGTGTAGAACTGCAGCCTGTGTCTTCAGAGAAGCTTAGCCAGAAAAGAAAAAAAGAAGTTGAAAATGGTCTCAGGAAGTTAAAACTACGAAGGCTTAAAAAGTCATAAAGTCTGAAATACTACCTTGACCATGTGGGTGGACAGCCAAACTTGTGTTTGGAAAGGATATGCAAAAAGTAGGAAGCAATTCAAAACAATGAAAAATAACCAAAATCCAAAGTAAAAACAAGATAAAACTTTTAAAGAAAATTTAGTTGAGTATCTTTAGTCATAACTGTAATGAAGATAATTCTTTAGGGATTAAACATTAATGTTGTACAAACCAGGGTAGTATTTATAGAAAGAAAAATCTCTTATAATATTTACAAAGCAAAATTTTAGGTCTTTGTATGTTTTAGTACTGTTAAAAAGTCGTATCAGCTGATGACAGCCAAAGTTAAACCCACTTTTGTGATCTGTTAGCAGCTGCAGTAATTCAGTGTTTTGCTTCTTTCAGAACACTGTTTTAGTAAAAATTAATTCTTCCTTTCTCTCTGCATTAGGCTGTGGTTTATTCACATGATCTTTACAAGCAAGAAGAGTTGGGCTCATTTCAAATAAATCTTTAACCAGGATTTAGTGTTGCTGATAATTCAAGGCCCACCTTTTCAGCAGGGTTTCAAAATAACTACAGTTTCTGCTTGTGCAGTTTTGATATGAACGTTTATTCCTAGCCCAAGCTGCGGATACAAATGATTGTGCATTCAACCTTTGGAGAAATGAAGATTGTTTTATATATGCGGTCACCTGGATGTGCAGATACTGCTGTTGGGAAGAGTTCTTCATATAAGAACAGACTGGTTTGTTATTGTAAGATAGAGGTAATTTTTAATTGCACAGTGCTTTTTCATACTGCTTTTGTAATGTATATGCAAATTACCTAAGGAAATGTAACTTTATTTTATGCTTATCGTTTTAAAATATTTAAAATAAAATTACAAGCAATTTTCATTTACCATTCTCTTCAAATCACTGTGACCACAGATACTTTTTTCAACAATCTTACTGCCATATCCTTATTTAGGTTCACATCCACAAGCGTTAGACTTGGTAGTGCAAGGCAGGTGCTTAGGAGAGTTAGCAGCTTGGCAGTTGACACCAAGACACTGCCAATGGAACAGCATCTTTCTGCTGTAAATATTTTCTTCTTTTGCTGTAAGTGAAAAAGATTCTGCATACCTTCCAGAAGACATTTTCTCTTTTTTCTTTCAGCCTGTTTGCATGATGTGTCTCACAGGGCTTTGCAGTAAGGTTGCTCCTGCTTACCAGTCTTCAGGCTCTGCAGAAAGGACTTTCTTAGTAACAGCAAAACTGAGGCTGCAAATGAACCTGGGTTTGGAGGAAGTATAGCCTGAGGTATGGTTACTGTTGTCTCTTCCATGGGCTTGAGATACTGGGCCAGGAAGGGAGTAAAAAGCACCTTTTTGATGGACTTAAAAGAGATATAAGGACATTTAATTAAGAATTTATCAGAAAAATCAGAGTAAGCCTAACCATTCTATGATTCTATTTAAAATAGAATAACTTGATAGTATAGTATTAAAGTCTTAGCATAGATTTTCTGGGGGGTTTCTTTAAGTTCTTTAGTTTACTGAACTGATAAGAAGTGCTACAAGCACAGATTCCAGACTGCAATTTTAAATTACCATTATTTCTACTTTGCTTTTCCTTGGATCTTTGCGATGATGCTCTTGGTTGCAACAGGTACCTACAGGAGAGGTTTGGATGATTATGCAGTAACAGACACCCGCTGAGTTTGTAAAATCACTTCAGTTACTTCTTTTTGGTTTGTTGTGGTTAGGAGAAAGATCTTATACTTTATTTTGTGAACTGGTGAATGCACTGATTGTACCTGTGAGCATTGTGGATGCTCTTGAGCAAGTACGCCCCAAACTGTTACTGCTAACAGTTTGGGATTCTGACACTTCTTCCTCTCCTCCTATCCATTTAAATCAAGTACTAGAAACCAGATGGCTACCACACAGAGTTTTGTATCATCATGTATTGTTATTAGGTACTTAATCACCTCACTGATAATGTGGGAACATCTTCCTTTTAACACAGTGGTCATACACCAGTTAGAAATGTAAGGCTAGATGGATTAAAGGTGTTAAAGCCTAGAAAGTCAGAACAAATACAAGGGGACGTCTTAAAGGTGCGGAGTTGCCTTATTCTCACTGTAGTTACTCACCTGTTAGGTTCCTAGGCTCTTTGTAGTTGTGTATTTAGAGCTCAGTTACATGTTCAAGTTGCCTCTTTGGTCCTCAGAAATGCTATTACTCAGGGAAAAAGCTTTAAATTCATGGTAATTTCTGGATTTTGGGTGTTGTCACTGCTCAAAACTATTCGTTCTTTTGTCTCTGCAGTGGGACTATTATAAAAGTTTCCCGTTTGCAAACCTTATTGGTGCTTTATGTGATGCTGTGACATCCAGGCTGGGTTGTTACCATGTATCTCTGTCCTCTCTGTACTTCAAGCCTGAGGTTTTCTTCTCACCCTTTGTGCTTATCAGTAATCCACCTGCACTCAGGTGACTGGCAGAGTGTGGTCTGACGTGCTCTTGAACCACAAACCTGGTGTTCCCAAAATCAGGGTGGGAGGGGGAAAGAAGCTAAAACTGAGCTGGAGTGAAATCAGTTTGCAAGTCTTGCCTGTGGTTTTCTATTACCAGTTTGCTTCTGAGCAGCATTCACATACCTTTCTGTTAAAAGTAGTAAATATTTAAGGCTCTGTCTGTTCTGAAACTGCCACTGAAGCACAGAAACAATTTCTTTGGTTTGTTTTTTTTTTAATCTTGTGTTTAATATGTTCTGTTTTTTCATTTCCAGAGCTTTGAGCTCTGAAATATGTGGAGATCTGACACTGGCTAAAGCTCCCACTGAAAAATACATGTTTGTCTTGAAGAGAAGTAACTGTCTATTCCAAACCAGCTTTGTTGTTGTTTTGGGTTTTTTAATGAATCATCTGGTTAATTTGGTCTGTGCTGTTTGCTGATAGTGCAACAGTCCTTTCCTACCGGGACACTTTCTAATGTGTGCAGACTATCCATTATTCTTTGCATCAAAGTAGTTAAAAATACTCATTTAGTTAAATTTTGTGTTCAAACACACATCAAAAGCTGGACCAGCCTTTACCTATTTACTTATAAAGAGGAAGCAGGCTGATGTAAAATGGACAGTGCTGATCAGTCTTAGGTTAGACAGCCTAAACCTTGGAAGGTTTTAACCATCCTGAGAGTTAATTGTGAGTAACAAGCTTTGTGCTCTCTCTGGTGTTACTAGTTCTGCACACTGGGGTCCAAAGTGTATGTTAGCGTTAGTCCAATTGCACAGCACCATTGCTGGGTTACACTTGACTCAAAGGACTTCAAGAGCATCTGTTTCTAACCGAAAAGGAGAACATTCAGAACCAAAAGTTGTGACGAGTGAGGTGTTAAGTAGCCTTCTGAAGGTGTTTATTTTGTCAGTGTGAACTTCCTTCCTTCCCAACACTCTGCATGTGGGTCACATTGCCTTGGTCTGGATTGACTTTATATCACCATCTCATTGGGTTTTGACTGGAAAATGGATTCTTTTTAAGGGAAAAGGTGGATTGGGTGCAATTGGAATAAGAAGGATATAAAATACAGTTAGACTGTGCCAGATCGCATGTTAGGAGTAAGCTCGCTATCTCCTTGCCTATACCAGTATCTAATAAAAGGTTTCATGCTGTATTAAAACACTCTACTGCAAGCTTGAGCAGACAGAATTAATAGTATCAAGAGGCCTTTAGCCAGCAGTGGGACGTGTGGGTTGGCCTCAGAAATTAGCTTTAATAAAAGGCACTCCTCGCTTCTTTGCTTTCTGCTTTTTTCTTCTCTAATAAGCATTAAATAGCATCCAAACCCCGATGTGAAGGAGAAGATGTTGGCTGGGGAAACAGCAGCACATGGAGCCTTTCATCAAAGGGATATCAAAGCATTCTGCAGCTGAACCTGGGAGGGATATGAATATGCTTATTTTGACAGTTGTGCAGCAGTGAGGGTAAGCAATTCCTTCCAGGTAAAGCAAGCTCGGTAAGGAACTCGGGCTGCAAACCTTTCATCAACTCATTCAGGTGTTTTTGAGCACAGTTCTCCCATCTTCTTCACCTTTTTTTCCCAGGTAATTAAAATGGAATCTGTCAGCACATGACTTTGTCCCTTCCACAGTGGCCGTAAGGTAACATTTTTAGATGGGGACTTCTCGTTTGGTTGGTGTTGGCTTATGCTGAGAAATCACAGAAGAGTTGTGAAGATGATGTAGTGTCACAGGGCATTCCAACTGAAACCTGGATATTACCTGGGGAATTAACCTCCACCATCCCACCTCCTTTACTGGCCATATAAATAATTCCAGAGCTGGGAATTGGTTCCTGTAAGAGCTGATACTGCACCTTTTTTGACTGAGAATTTCACTGATTTGCTCCCATTGTGTCAGTTAGATCCTCTAGTGTAGCGGAGAAGACAGGGAACCCCAGTAGCAGGAATTGCTAATGCAGCTCCATAACTGCTTCATTTACTGACACAATAATTATCTTTTTAATTTGTGCATCAAATCTTTAAAGAAAAGTGTCTTGAGCTGTAATTCCAGAGATGGGCATTCCCCTTTTTAATATTAATATGATCTCACAGTGCTAGAATGAAGAGAGTAGAGATGTATTTCTCCACCCTGTAGAGAAACTGGTTGAGACAATTTGCACATCACAGACAAGGCGCTCAGTGGAAGAGCTGGGCTGGAGCTGGAGCTTGAGTCTGACACCCTGTCTGATACCACATTGCTCCAGTGCTAACCTGAACCTCCAGCCAGTGGCCAACAGACCAGACAGAACCTTCACTGCTTTCCTCCTCCTCGCCCCCAGAAGTTGGAATTAGCCACTGGTGTCAATACTGAAAAAGAGGAAGCTGAAAAAAATCTCACATTGAACTATTCTTGCTCCATTTCAAAGGGGAGGGGGAGCTTATGCAATCACTTCCATCTTTTAGGGAGGATAAGGCTGAGGCTCGTACTTCCCTTGTCAGAACTTCTCATCTTTGCATACGCTAATAAAAG